AACTTCCATCAGGACTCTGAGGCCGGTATTAACAAACAGATTAACCTCGAGCTCCACGCGTCCTATGTGTACGAACAGTTGGTAAGTCTACATCTCAATTATATTAGCATAACCTAGCTATATTGAAAACTAAAAACTATAACTAAATGTTGCTTAAATCCTAAAACTAGGCATGGTACTTTAACCGTGACGATGTAGCACTGGGTGGTTTCCACGATACTTTTAAGGCTCGAGCTGACGAGGAGCGTGGCCATGCTAGAAAGTTTATGGAGTACCAAAACAAACGCGGCGGTCGTGTTGTGTTGCAGGACATCCAGAAGCCGGTGAAACAGGACGGCTGGTCACCCCTGGAGGCCATACAGGCGTCGCTACAGTTGGAGAAGACCGTAAACCAGGCCCTACTCGACCTCCAGGCCATCGGCAACCGAACCAATGATCCGGAGTTTACGGACTTTATTGAGTCGGAGTTCCTTCACGAACAGGTGGACGACATTAAGAAACTCTCAGATCACGTGACAAACTTGAAGCGCGTGGGCAATGGTCTCGGAGAGTATCTCTTCGACAAAAAGACCTTAAGTTAGATGAGAAACATGTGTTTGTTTCAGTCATTCATTGCTATTTAATATTTGCTGTTATTTTTTGTCTAAATTTTGATTTAGAATTTTATTTGTTTTTATTTGTGATTATTATAGCAAATGATGAATGATTTGAATTTTCAATGTTTGAGAATATTATTAATGCTTTTACTGTATTCTCGCAATTGAATTATAATAAACGGATATTTGAATTTGAATTTTTGATTATTTAATTATTATTAATTTAAACAGTGTAAATGTTATAAACTGGCAAAATTACATATATTTTTATATTATAAATATTGAGTGAAAACAGTTTATACAACCTGGTTTATATGCTAAAAATATAAATGTCAATAATTTACTTGAAATACAATTTGTAAAAAAAATTGTAGTAAACTCTATATTTTTACGTTTGTTTAATTACACAATTTCACTGCTTTTGATAGGTTCTCAATTTAAGTCTCTCTTTGTAATTAATTTAAAAATAAAACTGTAATAAAATAATTAGTATAAAATTGTGAGCATAAATAAAATTTAATAAAAAATATTATTATAGTTTTAAGATTAGATTTAAGTTTAAATTATAAGAGTGTGTAAAACATCTGTCAATGTATTGCAATACAAAAGGGCTATCAATGAAAGTGTGTATCAAATATGAGCTCAAAGAGTGTGTATAAAAAGGATTATAAACATAAATAGTACCATGGTACAAAAACAGCGCTGTAAAATAGTTAACCAAAATATGATCATAAAGTGTATGATAGCCCTAGTCCTTTTTTTCACCACAATATTTATTTTAATACATTCATACATACATTGATACTATTCTTTTAATACAATTAAATCTCTCTCTCTCTCTCTCTCTTTCTCTCTCTCTCTCTCTCTCTCTCTCTCTCTCTGAAACTGTAAGATAAAAATAAAAAATTTATACATTAATAATTACATTATGTATTTATTGATAAAATGGACAANTCTCTCTCTCTCTCTCTCTCTCTCTCTCTCTCTCTGAAACTGTAAGATAAAAATAAAAAATTTATACATTAATAATTACATTATGTATTTATTGATAAAATGGACAATATAGTACACCTTTTTTTAAATAATATTCTTACAAGTTAGCAAAATACCAAAATGTTAGAATATTTAATTTCCAATACTTAAACAGCCATCATTAATAATTTACATTAGTTTTTGGTTTGAATGAGTATTAATGTATAGTTAATTATGAATACCAGTATCTGTTATAATATAAATTGATTATTGAAATTAATACGGTCATTAATAAAATTAATTTAAATCACCTGAAGTAACGTGGTCTTATTGAGCATGGCAAAATTGCCAATTGTAAAACCAAACGACCTAGCATTCTTCAACACAGCAACTAATGCTAACCAATCGCGAAACTCTTTGTTGTTCATTAGTCTAGTATCAATATTGTTGTGAACATAATCACCTAGGTCTCTCATTTTATGGCCAACCGCCCCGCACTGTAAATTAACCATAAATATCTCGCACACACTGTATAGTGAATTAAACCACGAGATGAGTTTAAATTTATATAAAGCATCATGGTGTTGAGGTGATATCGAGGTATATATTGATAGTGATGCTGTTATGATGGCCAAAAATGCCCTGATTGTGTGCAATTGAGATAGATAATTATCGCACTTGTTGATGGTGGTAATTATTTGTGATATGCTTTGTTGAGTTGCATTTAATGTACTTTTACCTAAATAATAATTAAATAATTATAACATTAAATGTTTGCTTAATAGTACTGATAATTATTTAATTAATAACTATTAATACCTTGTTTTAAATTAAACTTGATGTGTGTTATAATATTAACTAGGTAAATTGATATTATAATTAAAATTAGTGGCAGAACACAACCAATAGTAAACATATACATATAATGAGCGATATTTATTAAATCAATATAATTTGCTGAATAAATTAACCTAGTTGATATAATAGTAACTATCAAACAAATATTACACATTATATAACCAAAAAGAACTGAGATGATTTTTACTGAAAATTTAAATTTATATTTTACAAGTAGATTATTATAAAATAATATAACAAGGTGATAAGCACGCGATTTATTTAAATAATAAATACATGCTAATTCCATCAACACAATCGTGATGAAATAGGCCATAAATAGGCATATGTTAAATACATTATAATTTCCATTTTGCAATATGCTCATTCGAGAATAAATATGCACAATATTTAACGTTATAATTAAGGCTATAAAACTAAAGCCATAGTATGCTTTATATTTGCCTCTATGCATTTTTCCAGTAGTCGTGTCTAGAGTTAAGCCACCGAATGTAACTCCAAACAGCCGCCAAAACCATAATATGATCCAGATTAATATGATTTTTCTCATTGTATAATAGGGTGAATAAGATATGTAATTATTAAATATGGGTAAATTGGATGATATAGGAATAATACCCATAAAATGTAATATTTTAATTTTAAATAAATGTTTGCAAAATGTACATTTAGATGTACTTGTAGATAGGAAGAACATTTTATTTTATTTTTTGAATAATTTTTGCTTTAGTCCACAACATTTAACACAATTGGTTATTGATTTTAGCATGTAACTTAAATAGTGTTCCTTTTATTCTATAGCATATTGTTTGCATATTATTTGATTGATTAGTATATTTTGAATAAGTAAATTCAATATTTACTATGTTTTGGTAAATGAAACAATATTTTCTAACTGGATAAAAAAATGGTCCAATGTTTTTCAAGTTAAGACAGTGAATATTGATTAGTTATATAATATTGCACACATACTGCATATTACATAATATATGCAAAATAATAGAGTACAACTTCTCTTTGGGAAACTTCTTCATAATGTAAACCTCCCCATTGGAAACATATTTATGAGAACTTAGGCAATATTAATAATGTTTATAAGAAACTAAATTTTTTAGTCACATTTTAACAATATTATAAGCACATTTTCAAAACAACAACTGAATACAAACATAATACTAATATTCTAAATGAATTTAACTTAATACAAACTGAAACAGTAAATTATTTGGTAGAGACATAATAGAAGTTAATTGTGTTTATATACGAATTTCCCTCAGAGAAACCCTTCTTATAAGTAACATCTTTATCGTGAAACTGGCCGTTCCTTACAGAGAAGTAGCACTGTAATAAATTAATTGATACAGTATTATTATGCCAACAATTATACAATGTAATAAGCACCGTGGTCTGTTATAAATTGCGTGCTCTAATTTGTAGTTTGATATAGTATAAGGGTGTAGTTTAGTATAAATACCAGTATCTGTAATACATAGGAATATATAAATTTATAGAAGATTATGACTTATTACAAATTATGTAATAAATATTTACCGCAATTAATGTGGTTTTATTAAGTTTGCCAAACTTTCCAATAGTAAACCCAATTGACCTAGCACTTTTTAACACATTAACCAATGCTGACCAATCGCGAACTTTCCGTTCGGTCACAAACAGTGTGTTTA